CATCAAAATAAAGGGAAAAGCAAGGCAGCAAAAAAAACCATCCAATGTGATGAAAACAATTAAGTAATTTCCAAATTAGGATCAGTTTGACAAATCAGATTAAGTGGGGAAAAAAATCGAATTTGAAACAAATAGGAGAAAAAAAAGGTATGTTATTCCATTTTAAGAGAGAAAAGTATCAAGTATCTAGTTAATCCCAATGGAAATAGACTCCTGAAATGGGCAGCTACTTCCAAGCTGTTCTGAAGCAGTTTTCATTATAATATATTCTCATCTCTATGAACTGCAAATTGTCAGCTAATAATTCTTGATCCCATGAAAAGATTCACTAGGCTACGTTCTGGAATTCCCATAATAAGGGGAACAAACCCATGTGCATAAACTGACTCATGAAGGAAAGGCTGTGCTTTATTTTTTTTGCCTTTTGGGAATGTGCAATGTCTTGCTGAGAACAAGATGGATTATGGCAAAAATACTGGGTTTGGCATGGATTTCCCAATGTTTACTGCAGGGCTGTATCCTTATATTTCACATACCTCTTTAGCCAATAAAAAATTGCTGGTTGGAATGATACTGCATAGGAAAAATATGTACCTTCAAACCTGATGTATTTTCCTAATGTATCCAGACACACAGCAACAAAACATTTTAAGACATAATAAGACATCCTCTGTCACTACCTCATCCATAAAGCTCTAAAAGTCACTAACAAAAGTAGGAAAGGGCTTTTGTGACAGTATTTTTGCTTTGTTCTCTTTTCTTTCACTATTCTATGTTTTATTTGACATGAATGTTGCAGCCCAGCACAGACAGCCCACACAACACACTGCTGAAAAACTGAGTTTTGGGCTGGAAAACACAGCAGACCTCTTCTAAGAACAGCTCTTCTCAGAAGCAGCTCTGTGCATGAGTAGCAAGTACCTTTCCAGTATCCTTGTTCCTCATTGCTTCATTTTAAATTATGGACAACCAGGCTCTGTCACAAGGGGATGCACTGTACTGAAAACCCCCATTGATTTCAGTGCAGTTATTTGGGAAATAATGTATTAAATAAGGATATCAGACCTTACAAACTGTCTGCTGCAGCGACTTTACTTTCAGCATTAAAAATACCAACTGGCCAAAAAAAAAAATTTCAGCAAATCAAAGTGGAGAAATAGCTGGATAGGTGTTTTCTATTCAGCAATGCCAGACAATATTCTCCAAATACAGGGTAGCAATATAAATGAAAGACTAAATGACAGCAATGCTTCCTATACCCTCCACAAAAGGGAAAATTGTTTATAATTAAAACGGACACAAACAAGATGACCTCACTTATGGGAGTGGTATGATTTTTGACATGAATTTTGGTCTAAAAGTTTAGAATCTTTGCCTTCCCAATGCAGACATTATTCAGAATGCCAAATAGAAAATACAAAATACAGATGATTTTTCCATTTAATTTATTGCCACCTTTTAACCCGGACCCTTGGAATGACAATTGACTGTTTCTGTAGGGACAACTGCTGCCTCTGAAAGAAGGGGAAATTCAAAGTAGTGCTCAACCTAGAGATTCCTGAGTCATTTTTCAGTCCCCTAGTTCAGTTTCTGAACCTAAAAAAAGAAAAGGGGGGGGTTTCAGTTCTATCAAAGTTCTGTGGTTTAAAGATAATCAAGAGCAAAAAGCATAAATTTATAAAATGAAGAAACAAGTTCCCAGTTAGTATAAACCAGCTCACTCCTTCCTTCCTCTCCCTTCTTGAGAGCAAAAGGGGGAGCAGTCAATGGTGATCCAAAGCATTCTCCTTTTCTAAATAAACCTTTCATAAGAAACAACACAAAAACCAGCACTGGCAGTATTAAATCCGCCTATCATGATCTTTTCTGGACATTGACTAGACTCTTTTTGTAATCTTTTTACATTTCTTTTATGAAATTTAAATAAAATGCTCCTGCTTTTTACTGAATGAAGACATATTAAGGAAACATTTGAAGTCTCAAATTAGTTGAGCTCAAGATCCAAACTTGTCTTCATATCTGGCCTTTCCTAAAAGAAGCCATAAAAATATATCTGCATTTATACCTGTGCTGTTCTGCGAGGCTATTAGACTGTTCGTGCATTATTCCCAGCTTATTTCAAAGACAAAATTGGGCCAAGGAACTCACCAGACCTATTTTTTTTTTTTAATGAAGCTCCATCCATCTTTAATTTCTGTTTCCTCTTTACCAAACGGATTTCACTTTTAAGAGCTTTCTAACATTTTATTTAGAAGCAAACCTTGCATTTCCATGAAATTCAGGTCCACAAGCAGAACAGTCTGCAAAACAAAGGATCTTTCAACTCAGAATAAACAGAAAAACAATCTGAACTGCACCAAAAGCTCTCTACTGTGGACTTAATAGTAACACTATGAGGAACCTAATATCACAGTGTATCCTCCCTCCCATTTCTATAGGTCTGAGAGAAAATGTTGCTATTGCAGCTCTAAACTTTTACTGAATGGTAATGATTTATGAATTTATTTATTTAAGAAATGTCACAGTGTGAATCTTGGTGAAACATTGGCAGAATTCTGAGAACTCACAAAGATCATCTATCTAAAGACACATCCACAAAGACCTATACAGGAAACCCATGCAAATAAAGGTCATATAAAAGTGAGAAGACAGACCTTATTTTGTCCCTACATCTATCTTCTCATGTGAAAAATAAATGCTCTATTCCTTCTGCCTGTACAGCCAGGCATTTTACAGACTGCTGAAGTGAGATCTAAGCATGCCACAGGCAATGGTCAGTGGAGCTGGACCTCTCACCTTGTGGGATATGATCAGATAAGGGAAGCTGAGAATTTGTCAGCTGTGTTTTTGTAAAACCTTATCATATTTAACGTGACTGCAAAAGGCAACATTCAGCTGTAACAGTGAGGAGCAAGAGTTTCAAAACATCAAAAGTCAAAGCTGATATCTACTGTGATTATGGAAAGTCTTACTCGAAGGCTATCTTTAGATTAGGAAACAAAGGCAAGAAAACTGTAATTTTTTTTTTCCTGCTGGGTTTCTCCATTACTTATTTAATGACATGTCATTATTTACTTAATACATGACAGACAGGCATTGTGCCAAATACAAAATATGTGGATGACTTCTACATAGAGTTAACTGGTGCATTTATTTCACTAAGAAAACCCTGCAAACCTGACACAGGTTTATTTCAGTTAGTTTGAAAATAATTTCAAGTATTCATACCAATTACTGGATTCTGCTGCAAATTTTAGAGGTTTTACTGTAATAGGTATCACTTAAAATTAGCTCTCCGCCCCTTGAGGCTCAGTAAAGACCACAAAGTCCAAACAATCACAAAAGCATGAACACAAATGAAATCCTCCTAGGCTCAGTGAGACGTTAGCTGTGAGTTACCTCAGGGATCAGTGTTAAATTACAAGTGGAAAAATCATTATCATCAACGAAGATGTATTAATTTTCATCTTTCAAGCAACTTGCCTTCTTAAACACTGCAACAACTAATGATTTTGGAATCAGACTAAACAACATACAAAAATAAACAGAACTTTCAGATAATAGGTACTTTCTTACTGAACAGAGTACCCTACTGGCATATAATATATATAAATGTTGATTGAGACATCAAAGACAAGATTATTAATGGTTGTGTTCAGGACTTAAAGTCACCATATAGATTGGAAAACAGGAAAACAGGAGGAGGAAGAAAAACATACAAAATACCAGCATTTCCTTGCTAAGAGTGGTACATCACAAATGCAACCTCCAATATGAAGGAGATAAACCCAACAAACAATAAGTTATGATCTTTCTGGAATTTATTCAGTGCCTTGTACAAGACAATCATAGTAGAGTAAGTTTCAAAAGCTAAAGTTAAAATCCATTCCCTCCTCCTGAAATTAGGAAGTCAAAGTTTTAACAAAAATGAAACTGTCAGAAGAAAATTAGCCCAATGAGCAAACCAGATCCAACATATTTGGGGATTGTGCTAACTGAATTCAAAACACCAAGAAACAGAGCAATGAATAAAACTACAACCCCAAAGAAAAGCAGAGCAGCAGATGTTGCTAATGTCCATGATTAGAAAATAAAGCTGAGTGGTCTTCAGAACCATTGTTCTGCTGTGAATAGCACTCAGCCTGTTACACCCCTTCAGATGTAATACCTTTATGCCTATGTAAGTATTTTGAAGTTATTGTACTGATCTCCATAACATTCCAGAATCCAACTCCTGCTTTCAGGAGCCTGAGCATGCAATATTTTGGTAGAATATGCAAAAGAAAGAAAACAACAATCAGATTGTCTCAAGAGCTGGTGAACTTTAGCATGGATGCAACTACACTGACTAAGTAACAAAGCAATTTTTTTAGAAATACAAGCTACCAGAGGGATACTGCACATATCTACCAACAGCATGAGCGTATTCTATTAAGTATATTTGAAGCAATCAAAGGTAACTCTTCATTCTCTAATTTGGCCTGGGAAAGAAATACTGTAGGTGTTTGAATGACATCCATAGCACTTTTCAAAACCACAATGAAGTTCAAAACAAATATGCAAAAAAATGTTTTCATAACATTGTTCACTTTTTCAAAGTACAAAAAATATCTCAAAACTTAGTCTCTTTCATTCCAACAGAAAATCCTATCGTCTAAGACTTTACAGTTTGGAGAAAAATAAATTAATTTACTTGTCTATGAATTAAAGGATTACTGTTATTCACCTTAAAAAAAAAAAAAAACACCAAAAAAAAAACCTCTTCTGTCTGGACAGCTCAGCAAAAGGAATACCTATTTCAAACCACTAAAAGCATGACAGCAGGTTCTTCCAGAAAACATTTGCAATGTTTTTACATCTCATCCCCAGAATACAAATCTTTTATTTGACAAATTTTAAAATACTTGTTGTTCTGTCTTTTTTTTTAAAATACATTCTCACGTGTAATATGAATTGCATTGCAGATAGCAGGGATTAATGGAAAGCTGAAAGCTTCTTACCAAGTACCCCAAGGCGATAGTTGACTGTGATGACTATCACATTCCCATAACTTGCTAGAACACTGCCATCATATAAATTTCCAGTGCCTTCCATGTAGGACCCTCCGTGAATATACACCATCACAGGCTTAGGTCCCCCACTGTCCCGAATGTCTGGAAAAAATATTAAGACACATTTTATCTCAAGAAAGTACCAAAAAAGATACATCAATATTTTAATTTTTTTTTTTTTTTTAGTGAGGTTATTTTTCTTGAAGTGTTTCTCAAGCAACATCTTTTACATAAGGAAATGGGCAGGTGGGCATAAGTGTTTCATTGTGGCTTTCTTGTAACTGAAATTCCTATTTTTGAAACACTTGGCCTCAGCAAAGCAGAAAGGAATTGAAAATGGTAACACATTTGCTCAAATTCAATAGGACAGTTGTCTGATTCTGTTCCTGATGAATTGGATGTAAAATGTCTACTAACATAAGTGTGAGCCCATTTTGGCTGAACACTTCTGAAAGCTCAGTCCATCTTTCTGTTCACTTAGCTAAAGGCAATTCACCATATTAATATAAACAGGATTTCTGCTCATACATAATTTGTTGATTGCTTCCAGTCTGGTGAGATCAATAGTTTGTAAAAAGTGTGTGTAAGCAGCTGTCTTTGGATGGGTCTGAAGCCTGAGTCCTCAAAATGTACTTGAAAGCTCTTTAAAACTTAGACCTTGAATGAATATTATTTGTAACCTGGGTAGGCTGAAGGTTCAGGTGCATGGCTACACTTAGCTTCCTAAATCATTAAAAGGAATGTATATTTGAAAAAAACAGCTGCCTGGAACAACATTAATAAATCCTCATCCTGCAGTCAAACAAATTGTAATGTACTCAAAAGTGACACGAAACGCAGGGAACGATTTTAAATCTGAGAAGCTCTGCCAACCCCTACAACAAAATTAGATATTGTCATACTGGTTTGAGTTTTGATTTAGGCATCCCTCCACCCCCAAATAGTCCCATTTGCAAATTGATGCATCTCCTCAGAATAAAATTTTGAATATATGAACACTACTGCTCCTCATGAGGAAGGTTATTCCTGAGTACCAATTCAGAACAGTTATTATGAGATAAAGCATGCTTTTAAAAGTTAGGTTTTTTCTATTGGATGGGAAATAAATCAGCTAAGGTGTAAATTTGACCTCTTACACCTGGATTTAATTGCATTTGATCTCATTTACTGGGTGTCTGATTCTTTTCCACTGCCCAAATCATAATATGCCAAAATAGTCCCTCAGTATCAAGAAAGACAATAGCAAGAGAACATATGAAAACTTCCCAATGAGGAACTGTACTGAATATTCTGATTCAAAGACATTTTTTATCATTATGACAGTATTCAAGTGACTTCACTGATTGCTCCCTTCAGTGTTTGAAGAAACCTCAGATGTATTGTTTACTCCTTTGATTTGGAGGGATCTTAGTTAAGAAGCTTTCAAGTAAGCTCTCAGTAGAATCGTTTGAATTGTTTCTGAAGCATTGTAAAGACTACAGGCAGCTACACTAAAAGCTCTGCTTTTTGACTTCCCTGAAAAAAAACAGCACAGATGTGCCTGTTTATAGAAAGGCAACTGCTATTATTACTTTGATATTGATTCTAATTTGAAGAAAATGCCAGAACAGTCAAGATCACAAATTGGATCTTCAGTATTGGAAGTACTGGAACAATCATTTATTTGAGACCAAACAGATGATGAAAGGTTGTGCATGAAATGACTTGTATTGCTTTCCTCATTTGAGCATACAGGAAGGGCTTTCCAACATGCAATTTTCAGAGTGTAAAGCTAAGGAGATTATTTATCTTCATTGTCCATAGGATGGAATTAGGAGCTTCTCAGGTTTAAAAGCTACACAGAGGAAAAAGTCTTTTCAAATTTATACACTGTTTTCAGTTGTTCATAGTCTATGCAGCTTTTTTTTTCATATACAAATATGGAAGCAATAATAAATTATTAATCTGAAATCACTGTGTGACTCTTCCCAGCAGAAATTGTACACAGTTAATTGTATGCTTGATGGTAGCACAGGGGGAGACTGTCTCAGAATTCTTCTTTAATTAAAATTACATAGAATTACAGGGCACCAACTGTGAACAGCAATGAAATGTTGGTAGCACTGGCCTGTTTAACTGGAAAATAATATTGGAATATTTAGAAAAGAATGGGCATCCTTTATGTAAGAATGGAAGCATACATTCATGAATAAAATCTCATAAATAAAGAAGGGATTCTTGGAGTAATTTCTGTCTATACCACACTTTTGTTATTTTCTACTACTAATAGTCTTGTAAAGATTACAGATGGATGAAGAAAGGCTAATTTTCAGCTCTGCCTCTGTGCTGTGTCAGAGCAGATGACATGCAGAATGAATTTTCCTCATGCTGCTTTGCCAAAGTCATCAGTCTTTAGAGGAATCCCTTCTACAAAAGAAAAATGGTGCTTCTGTGTGTCTCAGACAGTAATCTAGTACTGGAGACATCAGTGAGGTTATGCAGTATTCAGCTGAGGCTAGTTGGACTTTGGGCTATGGATTATACAAGAGCTAGGGCAAGAGGAGAGATCACTGCATTTTGGTCAGTGGTTTCATATCAATTGCAGTCTACAGCCAGGAATGCAAAGATGCACATATCCAGCTGGGAGAGTGTTGTTTAAGTACAGATTTTATTAACAGTGGATGTTATTAGATAAGATCAAAGGGAGAGAGCAAAAAATCAGACTGTAATCAAGAATTGATTCCTACCTTAAAGAGAGAAATTGTTCCCCCATGAAAACTCTCATCCTCTAAAAGTGAACTGGAACAAGTATTAAGATAACACTCTGTGAGAAGAAAACTCTACTGCTACAAAAGTGGCAGAAAGATGTACTTTAAAGAAGTGCTTATTGAAGTGTTCAACTCAGCAAAGAAAATAATGGAGATTTTGGCATTCAAATACTTTTCAAAATTTGCTCATAAATGATTTGATACATCTTTTATTTTTTTCCTATAGCCTGGTATCAGTCCTTTGTGTGCATGTGCTGGAGTGGGCTCAGCAAACCGTAGTTACACTTTCTCACACAGATTAATAGTTATCCATGGATGCAGATTAATAGTTATTTATGGATGCAGCTTGTTCTGAATCTGAAGAATTGGGGTGTAGATGTGGCATTTCTGCCAAGTGTAGATTTATAGACTGATTTAATTTAGTTGCGTTCTGCACTTTTTGTTGCTTTTTATGAAGAGTTGCTTTAATTAAAAAGCAGACACATTCATATTTTCAAAGACATATGCAAGGATAGTGCTGTTCAAAATCCTTCTCAAATTCAACTCAGTTCTGTTTTTAGTCACACAGAAGATAAATTTTGAGTGCTGTGATTTGTTTGGCTTTAAATTGCAAGTTCATAAAACATCTAAGTAGGTCTTACTGTACAGCAGAAAATGATCTTATTTATATTACATATACATTAATTCCCTTATAATTATTTCTATTATCTCCTCTCTTCTCTACCTTTTTAATGTTTGTTGCATCTACTTTTTATGTTTCATCTTAATTACATTAAAATTTAGGAATTGGTCTGTCTTTTATTCTATATTTATTACATCACACAACAGGGAACAGGATCTGACTGTGAATACCAGTCACAATTGTCATGTATAACAAAACATAATTATAGCTTCAGTCATTCAAAGCCTATGTGAATTGGGCACGTGACTTAACAAGTATAATTTACAGGGAACAACAAAAAGGGGAAGGGAAGAAAGCCTACCTGGAGACAACTTTGCACAAAAAATAGTTTAGTGGTGATGTCACAGGCAGTGTTTTTCTAGATAAGATAAAAAATTGTGACATTTTGAGTGTGAAGTACATCTTGGGTTTTGAACATGAAACAGCACAACAACAGGGGAAAATATTTAGATTGGTTGCTGTGAAACCTATGCTTTCCTTCCACTGAATGTTCTATGGATATATGTGTAGCTCTTCCATAAGCTTTTGTCCAAAAATATAAGTAGAGCATGGCACCAGTCAATGCTGCTCTTAATCATTTTAAAGCCTTTTAACAGTATTTGACCTTTCAGTTCAAATCCACTAGATGCCTTAAAGATGCACTACTACTTTAATAAGCTAGTGCCTATAGTGTTAATATGTAAACATCCATTAATGCCATGTATTTAAAGTGCAATATGAAACTAGATGTCCTGAGACTATTAAAGTAACTACTGAACTTCTGCTAGGAGTAGCAGCAAGGTTCTAGATATGTTTAATATTTTAAAATATGGCCTGAGCCATCAGGCTTGAAATAGAATTCTTTTTGTTTGTTTTCATGTCTGTCAAACCAGGGGATCATTTTGTGCACTCTCAAATGCTTAACAAGCTTTATCTGAAAATTATTTAAGATCCTGATGAAGGACTCTATGAATGCATAGCCTAACATAAAAAGGCCAGTGTTTTTACAGGTAAGCATCTGGAGCAGATTCTCATCAGAGTAGGACCTCGATAGCCAGGTAGGTAGTCATTTTAGAGTCTTACATGATGATGGTTAGCAATGCAAAAGCTGACAGATTTTTCACTGTACAAGCAATGTTTGGCAGTGCTCTAAGTAGAATGACACCCTAAAAAAGTGCTTAAAGGTCTGTCAGAATTTTGTTGTGCATGTTTTCAAGTGTTAATAACATCACCACTAAAATTCAACACAATTTGAACTGAGCTTCTCAGTGTAAAGGGAAAACACAACCAGCAAAATTTAATGTGTAAGTGATATTAGAAGTTGTACTTGGGAGTGAAAATCATAAAACTAACATGAATGGGTGACGGGATGAACAGGAACCTTGAATATGGCTAAGTGTAACAGCCAACAAGCTCACCCAAAGTGGTAAGATCTGTGCTACTCCAGGCTGGCTGGCACTCATTAGAGGCTATAATTAAGGCTGGAGCATGTGGTTGCTTTGCGAGGAAGACAAATGTGTTCTGCTGTTTACTGATCTCTGAAGTCCGAAAATGTGCAACTGGTGCCAGACGGAAAGATTGTTTCTCTTCCTATTTCTTACCATGACAGCTGAAGGCAGATGAAATGCTAAACTTGGCAACCCAGTCTATTTTAATACTAATGGATTTATAGGGGTTTTTGGAGATCCTCAATTCTGAATGTTCTCCTTTGCGCCAATGGCACTACAGTCTGTTAAGCATAAGAAGGGATTTGCAAAAAATGTATTCTGCATCATTGGCAATTTAAATTTTGAGTGGATTTTTGTTTGTTTTGATTTAAAGCATGCTCTGGACCAAGAACTTCCTTCAGTCAATGAAGTCCAATAGCCCATATAAGACAGAGCATCAGACTAAATGATCAGAATCATCACAGTTACAGCCTGGGAGCAAACAGCAACATCTGTTCCTAATCTGTCTCCTTTTCCACAGAAGAAATTGAGAGGGAGAAGGGAAGAGCAGAAGCATCTAGCAATTACAGAGCAGGCCCTCGTTCTGAGACATATACTCAGCTCCCCGTTTTACTACAGACATTGTGTCTGCATTCCTCAAACTTAGCATCTGTATTCCTCATTTCTAAAAATGGAATAATAGCATTCCTTTATTGCAGAGGGATGCAGTGAGGCTGAATACATCAAAAACTGAGAGATGCTCAAATAGCATTAGGGACTAAATAAGGATCTAAGATTGACAGATTGATGTGCTAGGTAAGGTTGTACAACAGAGTGGTGGATGAGAATTTGTTTGTGAACAATCCTTCATGGATATTTCGTACAGCACTAGCTAGAAGTCCAGTTCTGGTCCCAAAGGACATTAGGTGATAATGATTTGTGTCGCCATATTTTAAGCCATGCTCAGGATTTTAGTGGATAGGAACTAAGGGTGCAAAAGAATCACTGACTTTTTGCCATCGCCAAATTAAAGTCGAACTATTACCTTACCAAAATTAAGACTAAGATCAGGTATTACAACTAAAATATTTTACTTTTTAAAACTAAACCTTGTTTCTAGACTGGGGAAGGTACAGTTTATGCAACTGCTGAGCAACTTAAAGTCAAATCTTGCCTCCACACTAGATACTGCATACCTGCATGTCAGCAAACAGGCAAATGCACCACTGCTATAAAAAGGGAAAGCCCCAATGCTCATTGGTTGCAGGTGTTTCTGCCATTCTTGTTTTTGGTCCCTGCTCAAGTGGTTCAATACTTATTGAAAAACAGGTGAGCAATTCAAGAGCAGACATGAAAGGGTTAAGCAGAAACAGGAATGCATCCAGACTGGGGAGAGAAAGGCATTTATATTGTTTCTGACTTTTCACACTCATAGAATTTGAAAATACCTTCATTCTTTACACAGCATATTTGCAGATCATTAGCTGGTAATGGGCACTACTGCCTTTGGGTCTTTTGAAAACAAAAATGATCTAATTAAGCCTGGTCTACTGGTTGCAGCACATACCAGAGATGAGTTTGATTACTGATTCCAGTGCTTGTGCTGGCAAGGTTTGGACCACAATACTGTGGTAGGGACATGAAGAAGCAGATGGGAGTAGAATTACTGAACAGTGTTTTAAAATGAAATCTTCTAATCAAACTCTGATGTTTCAATGATACAACACAAAATGCTCTCCAGGCAATTGATCCAAGAAGATGCTATGGAAGATCTTTCTTCAGGAAAGATATAATACAATAAATAGATATAAGATCTCTGGATTTCTTAATACAGAGACCATGCTGGGCATTTTAGAAATCATTGGACAATGGTTATGTACCATGGATTCTACAGTCATATGACACAGTTGTGCTGCACCGTGTGTAGCCCAGTCTTCCTAATATTCTAACTTCATCATTCATTCAGTTTGGCATTTATTTTATTCTGTCCGCAGTTATTCATTTGTAGAATTTTATACTGCATAAAATCTACCATACTTGAAAAGGTGAAGGGTTTGATGGACAGGTTAACAGAAAACTAGACAGCTAAGGTGACCTTTCCATTTGCCTCTTTCCCACTATTTGTACACAAATACATATGACTAAGTGCATGAACTCTTCAGTTCTGCATGTGCAACAAGTGCTAGAGTGTCAATACAGAAGAGCAGTTCACAAAATGCAGGTTATCTGATCATGCTCCTCCACTGGGGGACAGGGAAATGCAGGGCCTCAGCAGACAGCGTTTCCACCAACCCAGTAGACATCTCAGCAGCCTTTAGTGTCTACTGATCATAAAAATTTAAATTTGCCCTGTCTCTCTGTGCCTCTCAGAAGCAGTAAAAGTCTAATTACTGCCTGCATTCTTCTATTGGCACGGAAAGGAGAACAAAACCATGACTTGTACGCCAGAGAAAATTAATCCCAGACCTATAAATTACAGAGATTTATTAGTGTTGTAAATGTATTTCTTCCCCTCTAGTTTGACTGCTGTGTTCTTACAGTCCTTCCTCTCTCTCCTACAATTGTCAGTGTGGGAGACAGGTTTTCTCTGACATGGACACTTGTTCTCTGAAGACTGAGATTCTGACTCTCATCTGATTCTACATACTAAACCACTTTCTGACAGCAACCACTCTCTGCTGAATATCAGCAAACTGAGTAGTCTCTTTTAAGTGTGTCTAAGCAGAGAAGGACTCAACAAATGTTAAGCCATTAGCATCTGTCTTGGCAATTATACAGCAATTTAGGAGAGCTATTAAGACCGACTGAGTGAATAACCCAAGTTTCAAATGGTTTCTTAAAACATATTGTTAAAACAAGACAGAGTAACTTTTACAATGGCTAATTCAGTATCACAGATCTTGGAGAATTCACATGAATGCCCCTTGCAATATTCTGTCGTGAACTAATTGGCCTCATAAAGCTAAGAGGATCTGAATTATCATAATTAGCTCTGAATGATGTGTCCTGATTTCAGCTGGGATAGAGTTAAATTCCTTCCTAGTACAGGTACAGCGCTGTGTTTTGCACTTAGGATGAGAATAATGTTGATAACACACTGACATTTTTATTGTTGCTGAGCAGTTCTTATACTAAGCCAAGGACTTCTCAGCTTCTCACCTCACCAGCAAATAGGCTTGAGGTGGGGCACAAGAAGTTAGAAAGGGACACTGCCAGGACAGCTGATGCCAGGACAGCTGACCCTAATATGCCAAAGGGATGATCCTTACCACATGGCATCATGTTCAGCATATAAACTAGGGGGAAGCTGGCTGGGGTCGCTGCTTGGGAACTGCTGGTGATTAGTCAGTGGGTGTGAGCAATTGCATTGTGCATCAGATGTTTTGTATATTCTCATTCTTTTATCATTATTATCACTATTACTTTCATTTCACTCCTATTAAACTCTTTTTATCTCAATTAATAATTTTACTTTTTTATTTCTTTCCCCAATTCTCTCCAACCAGCTGAGGAAGAGTGAGTGAGCAGCTGTGTGCTGTATAGCTGCCTGCTGGGTTAAACCACTACACATGAGAGGTTTCAAAGGAGATTTTCAACTATCAGAATTATCAAATTTGGGCCAACTGGTGGGCTTTCATTCATATGCTTAACATACACATTCAGTAGAGGATCATAAATCAGATGTGTATCAAATTGAGGGTATATTTGTAAAGCCTCTGTTCAGTTATTGGGTAGGAAGTTAAATGCTCCTATTTGTCTTCCTTCATCTTTTGTGATAAGACTGCATGTTTCTGTTTAAGTTAAGCAGTTGATGTTCTGTGTGATGAAAAACTTCTTAATTAAGAGCCTTTCAGCTTAGAGGTTAAGTTTCATCTTAGTATCAGGCCAAACCCCCCTCCCCAGATATTAACAAGGAAGCAAGAAGCAACTCTACCAGTCCTATATGGTAATTTGTTTTACTCATTGACCATAAAACATATGAAGTATGTGTTTAAAATTCAGAATTTTGAAGCACATCTACTTGAAGAGATGAGGCTGCTCAGGAAAAGAGCCCCTTGTTACCATTTTCACAGCCCTGAAAAAATATCAAATCTGCATAGTTTTATGATTAACAGACATAATTTATGACCAGAATAATATGCCTGACATTTCAAACTTTTGATTTTACTTGGTAATAGGGTTTTCTAAGGGTCAGCTCAAGCAGATAAGCATCTTTGTATGCTCGTAGAAAACAGAAGGGATCAGATTTATTTTACTTTAGCTCCACAGAGTCTTACCAACAGCCAACAGCTACCTCTCCCTTCTGTAGGGAGGTGGGGTAGTCTACATTTAATTTAACTTTTTTACATGGCAGTGTAACTGCAAAAGGGTTTGAATTTGAGGAAATTCAGTTGCTTAAGAGACACTTTCTAAGAATTTTCTGTATTTTTCCTTTTATAAACACAACATTTTATATGTTTATCAAACTGAGATCAGTCAGTGAAAAAAGAAAGAAACATCTTTGTACTTGGTGAAATACATAGGGTTAGAAAACATGCAAAAAGGTGTACAGAGAAACTTTAAAAGAGTGTTAGTTTAAATAGTATGGACAAAATTCAGTCAAAAGGTGGGATGCAACATATCAAAAGTCCATTTCAAGAAAACAAAAAACCTCCTTTTTAAATATTGTTACTGTTTTGTATCAAAACGTAGAACTTAACAACATTCTTTCTTTTAAAAAATTAAAAAGATATATGTATAACAACAAGCAAGAAGACAAAACACATCAAAAATGGGAAGTAAAAAAAAAAACTCTTCAAAAGAAGACAAGAAGTCAAAAAAAGAGGGGAGAAAAAAGATTTTCAGGGATCCTTGTCATGCAAATCAGTTTGGCGGCAAAAAATACCTTCATCTTCAGCACCGTCATTATCACCTAAATCATCTGTCTGTTTCTTTGTAAGGGGACCTAGGATTAAGAACGGAGAAAATGGAGGAAAAAAGACAATTCAAGAATATACAAGACTGAGGAAAAAAACAGTGAATATTAAATTCCCATGGACGTTTCAAGAAAAACATTTGCAGGGAGGGAAATCTTAGTTTATAACAATCAATTTTTCATTACGTATTTCCAACATTACAGCAAAACCTTCCCTAGGGGGTATGGCTATTAGAAACATCTAGCACAAGAATCACAGAGTGCCCAATGCTTTATTGTTTTTAAATGAGGAATCAAAGCTTGTTTACTAAAAGCATACCCCAGCATAAACTACATTTATCCATTTCGTTTAATTGCTTTTTTTCCTGTTGCAGTTATTAGGAATAGTGGAGACAGGAACTGCCAAATTACCTCTTGCATTTGATGCAATAAGGTGGTTAATACATGTCTTGATAGTTAGTTAAACAATATTTTTCTGTGAAATGCTAATTCACATTTTGAAATTCAACCCTTTAAGCTCATGCTTTCCAAAGATAAGCTCAGGTTTGGCTTTTTTTTTGTTTTGTCCCACTCATTACATTCTCTTGCAAATAGAACCGTAGATAACCCTTGAAACCTTTGACTACCTGCTGAGATATTTGTAAATAAACATGAAAATCCATGTGTAAACCAGAAACAAGAGAGAAATCCTAGACCAACTGAAGACAATGATTTTTTGCCATTGATTTCAATGGGACCAGGGTTTCGTGCAGAAGTTTTATTGAATACAGAATTGAAGTTTTATCTTGGGCAAGACAGTTTCATAATTCCTTATCTCCATAAAAATTCTGTCATGCCCAGCACCTATATTACTAAAAAGTATTAAGAGATTCATCATATTTTCTAATGGGAAAAATGTCCACTCCTTTACTGAATAATCAAAATATACATCAGTAGGAAAGTCAAAGGCCATTCTGAAAATATTTCCATGTCATATATTTTACACACTTACGCACAAACAAAAGACAGTTGGAACTCAGCATTATCTTTCCTTTTTTTTCAGAGCTCTCTCATTTCCATGACATTCTGTAATTTGCATGCGAAAAAGCAATCAGTAGGAACACAGAACTAAGTAACAAAAAAAAGAAAAAGCCAGCCAAGCACAGAGTAGAAAACAAGAACTTCCTCATGCATAAAATAGCAATAGACAAAAACAACAACAAAAAAGAGAGATGAACTGTATGTGTTGGTATTTGCAGTAGATGTAGGCAAGAGACATGCATTAAATCTAAGCACTGTGGAGTATTAAAATATTTGTATTTAAAAAGCTCTATCTCTGTTATTTTACAGGATATTAGTCAGACAGCATTAAACTTGTCATTTATAGGCAAAATACCATGTACTTGAGTGACACATTTTTTTAAAAAAATCATATAGTGTTTTTTACCAGGTGCATGGATTGGAGAAACAGAAAAAAACCATGAAGTACCATGAGATTTTAACTGTGAAGGTAAGAACCAGACCATGTTATTTAAAACCAAAGCTGAATACCTTAATTCCTGCATCAGTCAGTTTAAACTCCTTCTAAATACAGAACACTAGAATTATACATCATAAATTAAACACAAGCATTTTTACAGTCACACCTGCAACAATCACTGTTTAGTAGAAAGCCCCAGTGATGCAATAGCTTTTCCTAACACAAGTCCTAGATATAATCTTTACAATATATGGTATCTAGATAATGTGCCCCTATCCAAAAGCACACACTCAAATGTCTCACTGCCCATCATTCTCATACCATAGCAATTTTACTTCTAAAAGAATAAAATTAGAAAAATAAAAGATGTACGGAAAGCATAATAGTCATTTCATGGTGGGTTTTCAGCACAGCAAAAAGGGAGAATGAACTTAAGAATTGTAAGAGCTATGCACTTAACAGAGCTATGCATTTAAGAACGGAGAGCCAGACACAGGCAAGGATATATATGTATACACAGATATTTTTAATGGCTTCTTATCTTTCAAATTTTAGAAGTCGCCAGAAAAGAACAGAATAGCATCTGGAAAGGCAAACAGCACATATTTCTCCAAATAACTTGCATAAAGAGGGGCAATTTATTTTCTGGATGAAATCAAGAAAATGCATGTTACGTTTTTTTAAATAGCTGGCCTTTGTGAGGTATTTTGTGCAGATCATGGTTCCAGACCTCAACAGCAACTACATAGTCCATCAGCATCTCAATATGAATATCTGATCACATTCCATTTCTGATTTTACAATATGGTGAAGCGTAACTGTGGCTAGCTTTAAACATGACCTAGGTAATTTTAGTATCTGTACAGTTCTGAGGTTCTCTGACTAACATTTTAAAAAAAATTAGACCATCTTCCTATAATCATAGAATTGCTTAGGTTGGAAGAGACTCTTAATATGGAGCACAGCCATTAACCCAGCACTGCCAAGTCCACCACTAAACCACGTCCCCAAGCGCCACATTTACATCTTTTAAATACCTCCAGGGATGGTGACTCAACCACTTCCCTGGGCAGCCTGTTCCAATGCTTGACAATTCCTTTTGCAAAGGGGCTGACCTATTTTTCAGCTGTTATAAATTAAACATGCTTTTTAATACAGCTATAGATCTATTTCACAATACAAGGGCTCTGCTTGCCACATCCCCTAAGGAGGAGGACTCATCCCTGATGGAGACACGTGGCAGACCCACTAGGCACCACTCACAGTATTGTGTCAAGAAAGAGATGAGAGATTATTTCTGCCACAAGTTCGCTCTGCAAATATAATGGGCCAATTCATTACATCTTCAGATAGATTTTCTGCTTCCTGGAGTTATAATGAGCCTAAGAAACCAAAACAGAGTTTGGTCCTCATACACCAGGCATGAAACTCCTTACCTACTACCTATACTTTATGTATGCATACAGGGATGCTGTGAAACTTAATTTGTATTTTTAAATTGCTGTACAATCCCTAAAAGAAACACCAGCTCAAGACTTATTGTGCACAGAGTTGTCTAAAATGGCATATGGCAACATCAAGTGGTTCAGCCTGGAGGACTCACAGAGAAAGTAGAGCTCTGAGCTTGACTGTTTAATGTTCTGTGTTGCCTGTTTCATGTACAGATGCAGAAGACACTCTCTGAAATCGTGAAAGTAGTATTAAGAGAAGCTCTGAATTAGAATTCCACCCATTTCACCAATAACTCTCATTCTAAAATCAGTAAGAAATGGCTTTTGCTTCAGATTCTCCAGATAACTGATTACATTGACTAACAGCATCGCTGTGTCTGTATGATCATAAAGAAAGATTGATGTTTTGAGTCCTCACACAGGAAAACACTCTGAAATCACTAGCAGATAAACAAAATAAAATTTTATGGCAAGATCCTACAAAATGTAGCAGCAATAGCCTTTTTAAGTAAAAATAAATTAGGACTGAAATTGCTTAGTAGGTGTATAATTTTCAGATATTTTCTGCAGCTTTCAATTAATATTCTACAGAAAGTTTATGATTTAGTAAATTAAATATATCTCTCAACTAGATTTATTTCTTTAGCCCCAACTGTTTATCCAATATATGACTCTTTAGGGTTCTTCCATCATCTTAATATTCTTTTCAGGTAACAGAAACTAATTTTAAGAATACTGATACTAAGACATGATGGAGCAAATGAAACAAAAAAGGATATATATTTTACAGAATTATGATTGCCAAAAGCCTTTTGTCCACAGTTACCTTCCACTGTTCTACTGTAGCTTCTCTTTACCTTTTGTGAAGACCCAATTAATCTTTCTCTCTGAGCATCTCACTTACAAAAACAGGCATCCATTAAAAAGAGACCATTTTACTACATTTAAGACACAAGACTTCAAATAGATATGATGTCTTACTGTGGTGGCCTAAATTTTAGTTAAAGTTTATGTAATAAATATTAAATATCAGCAAACTAATCAGATATCATAAATAATGGGGGGGGGAAGAGGATACTAAAGCCTCTAAAATGCTGATGCAAAGATGATTTACTTATCAAAAGGCTTTCTAAGGTTTAGTCTCACATTGGTGCATACCCATAACTCACATTAATGCCAATAGGAAAGTAGACCCCTAAGTCACTTAAAAAAAGGGGAAAAAAGTGATTATTGCATTTTATGTTTCCCAAAGGCAATGAATAGTCTAGCTACAAAAGCTAAAGGAATACTATGTGCAGGAGGAACTCCTCATGTACTCTGCTCATTTAATTTAAAAATAGTTCTTACGTTATTTAAATTATTATTCAAATATTTATTCTATTTGTATTGCAATCAATGCTAAGGAACAAACATGACGCATTTTTCAATCTTGATAGTGACTACTGTATGCTTGCAGACGCCTTTCCTTTGCTCAAAATAAGAGCAATAACATACCTCCTGTCCAGTTAGCTACAGCGTAATTATGCACTCAGAAATAATTAAATCCAGCCATATTAATTCTGGTTTTTATCATTCCCTTTGATGAAGGACTAAGGTGCTTTAGCTCCCAAATACATTAAAGCTGATTATAAATTCTCTCTTTATGGGCTTGATTCGGCAGAAATTATCCATGGCCTTTTGGACTGCAAGAGTGTGGGAGGCATGGAAGCTCTGGATGCCATTAGCTTTTTGGCCTAGGAAAGCTATTCATCATACAGAAAAGTCATGCTGCAAGTTGACACCATTTTGTAAAACAACAGTACAAATCCTCTAAACTTAATAAATCTGTGCTCATGTATACAGTCATTGTTGGGGCCAAAATGTTCCCCTTCAGTAATGAGAAAAGTGGGAAAGAAAAAAAGGACCTTTTACATTAGGTTAAGTAGACTCCATGGATCTAGTAATTTAGAAGTCACCATAGTAATA